AATTTTATGTCTTTTATCGCTCTCTTCCCGGTCCTGCGTGGAAAAATACAGATCCATAAATTTTTTATCTGAATTTTGGTAAAAAGACATAATAATCCAGATATTCTGACCTTCTGTGTTCGTCCATCGTACCGTCGTCCGTCTTGTAGAATCACGGTGGCGCCACCTAGCTGAATTTAATTTTGCAACATATTCGATTTTCCCACGGGAATGAAATTTTTTTCCGCTGAAAAAAGTAGCCTATGTCACTACAGCCACCGAACTATCCCCATACCAAAATTCATGCCATGCCGACGCTCTGTTGCGACGTGAAAGAAGGACAAACAAACAAACAAACACACTTTCGCATTTATAATATTATTATGGAAATTATGGATTTAAATTTAAAGTAAAACAAGTACAAATGTTGACTGAAAGAAAATATAAGGGGTTTGGATGAACTGTGCATGAATGAGTTAGACTTGGAGAATGTATGGCAAAATATCAAGAAAGGTTCGGTAAACGCAGCTACTGAAGTATGTGGTGTTAGTAAGAGAACGAATGAAAGCAAAAATAATACGTTATGGTAGGATGATGAAATACGTATGGAAGTTGAAGCAAAGGAGAGAGCATAGCTAGATTTACTAGCAACAAAGGTTGGTAATTCTGGCGGTACGAATGATATATTAAAAGAAAAAAGGCAGTCTTTAAACATCTAAAGAGAGTAAAAGAGGAGGTTGAAAGGAAAACGCAAGAAAGAACGGATAAGAATAATAGAAGTATATCGGATAACTTCCAGGCACATATCAAAATGTTCTGGAAACTCGTAAGAACTTTAAGGGGACATTCAAAACAGCCTATAATAAATGCTATAAGAGACGAGAACGGATGTATTCTGAGTGACAAAGTTTCAAGTTTAAAGAGATGAAAGGAATATTTTGAAAGCGTGTTTATGAGTAACGAGACGACGTAAGATTTAAATGAAATAGTAATTCCGAAAGAAGAGGAAAGAGATAGAGATATAAGTATAGATGAAATAATGAAAGCAATGAAAAGCATGAAAGCAGGTAAGGCAGCCGGATATGATAGTTTCACTCGAAATGCTTAGGGCTGGAGAGGAAGTGGTGGCAGGCCTGCTTACACCTTGTTTCATTTGTGCTGGGAACTGAAGCGGGTACCGGTAGACTGGTGCAAAGCCGTGATTGTCCCAATATATAAAGGAAAAGGGTCGCAGCAGGACTGTAAAAACTACCGTGGTATCAGACTTCTTTGCATTATGGGAAAACTGTTTGCTTAGGTACTAATTGAAAGGGTCATGAAAGAAACTGATGGAAAAATTTGGGATGTGCAAGCGGGATTTATAAAGGGAATGGGGTGTACAGACCAAGTCTTTTCCATGCGCATGATCGCGGAGAAGTTTTTGGCCAAAAACCAAAAAGTTCTTTGTACGTTCATAGACTTGGAAAACGCTTATGACAGAGTGGACAGGGATGTGTTATGGCAAACACTGAATTCATTTGGGTTGAGCGCTGGGTTGATACAGGCATTTAAAGTCTCTTTATAGGGACTCTAGTGCTTGTGTTGGGATCAACGGGGTCTAATCGGACTGGTTTAGCATCCATAAAGTTGTCAGACAGGGCTGTGTGGCTTCCCCATGGCCGTTCAACCTATTTATGGATTTGTTTCGAAAATTTGAAAGCTGAAGAATGCGGATTTAGAATGGGTGAGTTAATTATTAAATGCATTTTGTACGCCGATGATCAAGTTATTTTTGCGTCGTCGGCGGCCAAGTTGCAAATGACGGTTACATTAATGAACAGGTCTTTAAAAGAACGAGTATGAAAGTGAAAGCAAGTAAGACGAAAGTTATGGTTTTTGAAAGAAAAGAAAGTAAAACGATATGTGAAATAAGAATAGAAGGGAAGATGATGATGAGAAGTCACTATCCTTAACTACAATATTCTTAGTCTTTATGATGCTCATGCTCCTGTTCACAAGGTTAGATTGAAGCGTCCCCCTGCCCCTTGGATGACAGAAGGCGTAAGGATGGCAATGGCTAGACGAAATCGTGCTTTTCTTCGTTTCAAGAGAGATCGAATAGAAGAAAATTGGATATCTTTTAAAGCAGCCAGGAATAGATGTAATCATATGGTACGTGCAGCTAAACGCCGATATTTCCATAACTGTATTAATAACTCTTCTCCAGTTTTAGTGTGGAAATTCCTAAAATCTTTCGGCCTTTGTAGACCAGCTACGTTGGATTGTGGTCCTTCTCTGTCACTTGATGAAATCAACCAACATTTCGCTTCTGTAAAAGCACTGGACCCTACAATTCGTTCTCAAACTATGGCTTCCATTGCTTCTATGCAAATTCCTAACATTCCTACTTTTAATTTTTCTCCTGTTTCTCAGGATGATGTCAAAAAGTCGATTTTAGCAATCCAGTCCAAGGCCGTGGGTTACGACGAGATTAGTAGACATATGGTAGTATTTATACTAGAGCACCTTCTCCTGGCAATTTCCCATATAATCAATTTTTCCCTTGGTTCAGGTCAGTATCCTAATCTTTGGAAGAGGGCTTTTGTAAAGCCTCTCCCAAAAGTTCCTACTCCCATTCTTCCCAATCATTTTCGTCCAATATCCATTCTACCCTTTCTTTCCAAAATTTTAGAATCCTGTGTTTACAAGCAAATTTCTACTTTTGTTTCGAAACATAACCTACTGAGTATAAAATATCAGTCTGGGTTTTGTCCTGGTCATAGTACCACTACTGCATTAATTAATGTTATTGATAATATTAAACAAGGCATGGAAGAAGAAAAAAATAACAGTGCTGGTACTAGTTGATTTCTCAAATGCTTTCAACACAGTTGATCATGAAATCCTTCTTTCCATACTGTCTCACCTGAATTTTGGCCCTACTGAATTGGATTGGTTTACATCTTATCTTCGCGGTCGACAGCAGTCAGTCAATGTGGGGCAACTGTCCTCAGCGTGGGCTGATGTGGACGCTGGTGTGCCGCAAGGCGGTATTCTTTCTCTTATAATGTTTTCAATTTTTATAAACTTTATTACCTCCATCATCGACTGCTCGTACCATTTGTATGCCGATGACCTTCAGCTTTATGTGCAAACTGAGATTGGGGATATCCATAATGGGATCGAAAACCTTAACGGCAACTTAGCAGCTATCAAGGATTGGTCCACTCGTTATAGGGTTTTGGTCAATCCTTTGAAATGCCAAGCTAAGTGGTATAAGGAGCAAGATTAATCTGACAGACTTACCTCCTATTTACTATGATAATGCTACAATTCCATTCAGTAATTCTGTTAGAAATCTTGGCCTTCACATCGACAGCACGCTGAATTGGAGAACTCAGGTTTCAGATGAGAGTCGTGAAGTCACTGCCACGTTATGCTCTCTGTATCGTTTAAAGCATTTTCTCCCCACAAAATCTTAGATCATGCTTGTCCATTCACTTATATTACCCATAATTGATTATGCAGATGTGTGTTACCCAGACCTGTCCCAAGATCTTCTGAACAAGCTGGAACGCCTCCTCAATAACTGTATAAGATTATCTTTGGGCTTCGTAAGTATGATCATATTTCGCAATACAGATCTAAGCTAAATTGGCTTACAATCCGGCAGAGGCGCAACTCCAGAATATTACTTGTACTTTTTTCCATATTAAATGATCCATCTTCGCCTTCTTATCTTAAGAGTAAATTTCATTATCTTTCCTCATCTCATGATAGGGTCCTACGCTCTTCTTCTAACAACAAAATCTGTACTCCAGTTCACTTCACCGAGTTCTATGGTAACTCCTTCACAGTTCAGGCTACACGCCTTTGGAACTCCTTGCCCAATGACATCAGCAAAGCTCCCAATAAGTACGCTTTTAAAAAGTTGGTCCGTGATCATTTATTAAAGACAACGCATTCTACATGACTCATCTATTTAATATGTATTGCCAAACAGACCGTATATATTCATAGTCATTTGTATATACTAATTATGTATGTATTTAAATATGTTTACTTGTATGTATATCCATTTATTAACATATTTGTATATATGTAAGGATAGATCATATATGTATAGTTTATTTATTAGTAGTTTGTATACATTATGTAGTTAATTATCATTTGTATTGTGTTATCTTATTCTATATTGCCACACCTACGTCAAATTCTCACCACTTCATGGGTTGACTGGTAGAGAATGCCTGAAGGCATTAAGTCCGCCCTTTCTATTCTTTTGTTAAGGATGCTATAAAGAATAAAATAAATAAATGATCGAGCAAGTAGATGTTTGTATATTTGGGATGTGTATTCAGCAGGGATGTGAGATATGATAAGGACATAGAACAACGAGTGAACGCAGGAAATAAAGTAAATGGGGCTCTGCACTCTATTGTTTAAAGTCAGAATGTGTCAAAAAAGGCACAAAGGTGCAAAGCTGTGTTAGTACCTACTTTAACGCATGAAAGTGAAAGTTGGGTGAGGCAGAAGAAGCACGAGTAGAATAAACGCAGTGGAAATGCGGTCGCTAAGGAGTATGTAAGGGCTGAATCTGAGTGGCATAGTGAGAAACTGTGTGATAAAAGAAGAGTGTGGTTTGCAAGATGATGTTGTGACCAGGATTAAGAAAGGAATGCTTCGGTGGTTTGGTTATGTATAAAGAATGAAATGAGGAAAGAGTGACAAAGCAAATCTATATAGCAGAAGTGAATGGAAGAATCGGAAAGGGACGTCCTAGGCGAAAGTTTATCGACCAAATTGGCGATATATTGAAAATGGGCCAACTTAGGAGTACAAGAATACATGTAAGCGTAGGTATATGAATGTGGAGGAGGCAAGAGAGGTGTGTCAGGATCGTGCCAAATGGAAGTCTGTAGTCTCTGCCTACCTCTCTGAATGACAGGCGTGAGTATTTATGTTATGTTATGTATATATAAGTTAAGGATTTTTTACTTGTATTGAGTTGTATTGAGTTGTAATACAATTATTATACCAACGTTTCAAGAATGTGGGATTCGTTTTTCATTGCTATTCGTCTATTTTCTTGCAAGCGTGCTTCTAGTTCAGGATTTTCTTCCGCGGGGTCAATATTACACTCTTCGAGTTTCACTCTACCCATTAAATGTCGCCACTCCCTCTTTTGTCTTCGTTTTTGCAGCTCACGACCGCATTGAGTGAACAATGACGTAGCTAGAAACAGAGAAAGGCCTGACATTTAGCAAGTTGTATTCATCCCCCCACCATCCCACAAAAAACTGAGCATAGCTCTCTCCCCGATCTTAAACTTCCTAATACAATAAGCAGTAAACTACGTCACAGACCCATGTTATGTCATCACTGGCAAAACAGATGTCAATCTTGTAGATTATGAATGAAGATATATACGCATTAGAAGTAGGTAACCGACATAGCCCAACAGATCTCTAACCTGAAATTGCCAGCCATATAGCTTGAAGAACCGACAACCGATGGGTTAGAAAGGTTCTCGAGGGGTAACCATACCAGGTACCGGTTAGCACAGTATGGGACTGCCCTTCACTAGATGAAGTGGCGGCTCAAGACGAGACCATGATTTGTGCTATTCCTTGAACTCAGCAGTGGACTTGGGATGGACTGTCCACTTGGGATGATAATGATCATGATGAAACATCGCCTTCCCACTTAATTTATTTGGGCCTGCAACAATATCAGACAACAATGTCTGTACATTACAATTTATGAATTCTAATTGCATCTAATTTAAACTCATATAACTGACGTTGCGAAGTCAATGCAGCACTCATACTTAATGATTTTTTGACGTTTGCATATCATAGGTAACCCAGCCCATGCAAGACGTCACATGTATGACTTTCTTGTTTGTAATTCTTGATTGTTTATTGGATATTTGAGGTTCTAATGTAAGTTAAAGTTACCCTGGAAACCGTTTCTGAGATAGTTACGACACTTACAGGACAGAATTAACTGGCATTAATACTATTACTGTCCAATTTAATGGAGTCCTATGTTTTATTGAAACACAGGACTCCATAAATCGAAACAAGTTCGCTGAAACATTTATCTTGAGTTAAGCCGCGACGAAAATTGTGATAAATTATGGCACGGAAATGTTCACGCGTGAGCTCCATTTCTGTTAACGACGTGTCAACTTTAAACCAACATAGTTTTTGGTTTTAAACATTTTTTTTCATTGTTTGAATGTCATCAAGATTCTAAGAGGCCAGTATTCAAAATCTAAAAAAAGTTTTATTGTAACTCAATCCGAAATATTCTATTCAATCCGAAATATTCGATTATTTCAGTGTGCCCCTCGTAGTATAGATTGACGATGAAGTGATGAGGGCGAGACTAAAATCAAAATAAAGCATTGTGCTCATTCGCGGGATTTAAGCGGCATGAAGTCACATAAAAACTAACATGGCGGCCCATTACGGACATATATCATCATCATCATTACAGCCCTTCACAAGTCCACTGCTGAACATAGGCCTGCCCCAAGTAATGCCACAAAGCACGGTCCTGAGCCACCTGCATCCATCGACTTCCTGCATGTCTTACCAGGTCGTCACTCCATCTGGTGGGGGGTCGCCCTACACTACGCCTACCGGTACGAGGCTGCCACTCGAGAACCTTTCTTCCACATCGGTTATCGGTTCTTCGAGCTATATGGCGGGCCCATTGCCACTTCAGCTTACTAATCCCTTGGGCTATGTCGGTCACTCTGGTTTTACTGCGGATATCCTCATTTCTGAGTCTATCACGCAGAGAAACTCCGAGCATAGCCCTCTCCATAGCTCGCTGAGCGACCTTGAGCGTCCTCATACGGCCAGCAGTGAAGGACCATGTCTCTGATCCGTAAGTCATCACTGGCAACACGCACTGGTTGTACACTGTTTTCTGAGATTGAGGCATACCTCAATCTCTGAAAACTAAAGTGATCTATAATAATCCGGTATAAGTTCGGTATAAATACTATAACGGACATATAATGAAACACTAAAATACATAATATATTAAAAACGTATATATATATATATATATATATATATATATATATATATATATATATATATATATATATATATATATAACTAAAACTTAAATTATTCTACTCCGCATGGTATTGTGGCAAGAACGCTGACTGCTGCATTTACTGACTAAATGGCTATACTAATTAAATAAATATTGTAATCCAATAAAAAGTATAATTCAGAATATTCTCGACATTTCAAAAATACATGTTATAAAAAAAATTACCTATTTTAGTATTTATTAGTAAAAGTTTTTTTTATAAAACTAAAGTTTTCAACGAACTTACAGTTCACCTGACGATAGTAAGTAACTTTGAACAAAGAAGGTCGTTGTCACCTCTACGAACTGTGATCGAATGCTGTACATTCTGTACTTATACTGGTATGTGCCAAATCGATTGAAAAAAATGGACAATGACCTTTCGGTCGTTTAACCAGGGGTTACAAACCTTCAATATATAGGCAC